TGAAGTCTTCATTTTAGGGATTTACTGATGTTCCCTTTGATAACCTAGCATATTAATAATTTTTGTAAATGTTCCATGAATATTTGAAAAAGACCGTGTGATCTCTTTTGGTGCAGTATAAGGTTTGATGTACATTAAATTACATTTTCAATTAAAATCCTAATATCCCAGGACAATTTTTGTCTACTTTCTCTATCAAAGATTGATAGGATATAAATTTAAGTTTCCAACTACAATTGTAGTTTTGCTATTTCCCTTTATATTACTAGAAGGTATTGCTCTACATATCTTGATGTTGTTATTCAATACATAAAAGGTTATTCCAGTTAAATTATTGTATATGGTATTATTGATAAAATAACTTGTTTATTTAACTCAATACTCACTTTATAATCTTCATTGTCAGATGATTATGCCACTTACAAATTTTAAAAAGTATTTTATTCCTAATATATGTCTAATACATATTTTCTCATTCCTTTATTTTTCAGTTCATTTTGAGTGGGTCTCATAAAAATTCTATGGATGCAATTTTTTAAAATGTTATAAACCAATATTTAATAAGACTTTGTCATCTAGTGAGTTTAACCTCTTCACATTTCATGCTTTTGTCAGATTTTTGTCATCTCTTTTTTCCCTCTCTTTTTATGCTTTCCTGTTATTTTCCTTTTGGAGATTTTTTTCTTTGCTTTTTATTCTAATGATTTGGAGTTTGTTCAGTACAATTGCCTTTATTTGCTTTAGTATTTGAGCTTATATTTTTCACAATATTAAGAATAATATAGTATCTACTGCCTATTTGAAATGAGAGCATATTTTTCAGACAGTTTTGGTTCATTTACATGCTGATTAATTGGTGATGCTATGATGATATTTTTTTATTCTGGCTTACTTTATGGAAAAGGAACTTGGGAGCTAAGACAGGGACTAAGTAGCAGAAGAAATATATGCACATAGGATATATATGTCCTTTACATTATATTTTTTAATAGTCTCCTTTCTAGTCCTCATTTAAGGTTACCTATTTTATGCTGTAATTTTTTTTCTTCACAATTTAGTTAATTTAAGGAGTGAATGTTGCCTTCCAAATGGGCTTTCTTCATCAGGTACTGAAAGCAGAAATGATATAACAGTCTTATATTTCTACTGTATTTGATAGTATGCAAAATATCTTTATATACATCTCTCCAGTTGAACTACGCAAAAGCTCTAGATGTTATTATTCCCATTTTCTAGATAATTAAACTGAAGCTCAGAAAAGTTAAGTAGTTGGCCGAGAGCCCAAGACACTGAGACCCACATCATAGAGACAGACATTCAAGATGAAGCAACGTGAAAACTCAAACCCAAATCATTCTGACCTCAAAGACAGGGGTCCCTTAGGTGCAGCTTAGATGGACTCATGGTGCAGCTGACTCCTAGACTCTGTGGAGATGTCACTCAAAGATATCCCACAGACCACACCAGGGCCTCGCATAAGGGAGGGACTGGGGTAATGTTTGCTGATTGATTGAATAATCATACCCTCAAAGCTAGATGGCATTGTTTCTCCGAATGTCCAGCAGGAGGCGCTACATAGTCAAGGAGATCTGTCACTTTCCTTCAGTGAAGCATTAAATTCCATACAGGTCCTCAGAATTTCAAAAGTAAAACCAAAATTGAAAATATAAGAAAATAAAGGAGATATATATTTTAAATCATTGGCTAAAATCTATGTACATATATAACTATACCATTTTTATAAATCAAGAAATTTAAGTAATTTGTCAAAATTCTTATATTAGCAACAACAAAAAATCCAAAATGATCTGTATTAGTCAGTCAATTCAATGCAAATTCCAATTTTAAGTTAATTTAGAAAAATAAACATTTATTTAGTTGGCCTTGGGGAGCCTTCACTACTACCCTTTAGCATCATATCAGCTTTGTTCCCTGGACTGACTCTGTTCCACAGAAGGCCTTTGTAGAATTCATTGTACCTTGTCCATCCCTCTGTGGGGCTGGGAAGGCAGTGCTCTGCCCAGGAATCTCTGAGCTCCTCTTCTTTAGGGCAGAGATCACATCCTACTCATCTTCATGTTCAACACCTTAGTCCGTAACTGTGAATGGACTACAAGTCTGCTCCAGTACAGTTTTTGAAAGGCAGCAGGTCATGTAACACTTAATGAGGAGTGTTCTTGTCCTAATTAGCAAGTCAGAGGATGATTGGTGGGAAAGCCTAGCTGAGGAGACTGGAAAACGTGCCTCCCCCTCTAACTACAGACACACGCCATGTGGATTAAGTGTGTTTGCTGCTCCCATGGCTGCTTGACATGGACTGTCAGACACACTTTTGTTTAGATCACTATTATCCACTCCTCTCTTTTAATAATCTAAATTTTCTATTATGCTCCAGTGGGAAAGGAATTATGTGAGAGAGAGGTTTTACTAAAAAGCATTTAATCCCAAATCATTTTTAAATGCATTTTATGAAGCCTGAGATTATTATAGAATCAGGTAAGCATTATTCACCTGCTAAGTGTTGAGAACTGTGGTCAAAAGAAGTATAAAATGTGTTTCCTCTGGAAGCTTTGTGTCTGTTAATTATAGGAATTATAGCATATTACACCTGCAATCATTAGAGTCCAGAGTAAGATAGTACTCATTAAAGTGCTGACAGTTTTAATAGATATGTTATAACAACCTGATTAAGGAGGATGAACCACTGTTATTGGACATTTAAGTGTCAGCCACTGAATTAGATAATTTTTAGTTATTATTTTTATTTAAGCACCAAAAAAAATCCTATGGAATAGCTCATTATCCTCATCTTACAGAGAACTTAAGCTCAGAAAGTTTCAGCAACTTGCACAGGTTACATAGCAAGTAAGAGGCACAACCAAGATTCAAACCCTAATCTGTGACCTGCTAAGCCTATAAATTACCCTCCCACCTCCCTCCAGGACTTTTCAGAATGGGCTGGTAAAATCAGCCAGTCCTTGTGGCTGGGATGGAGCTTGAGTTTAGAGGGTTTCATACAAGATTTGATAGGTGAGAGCTAGATGTGACTGTACCTATCAGCATCCTGAAGGGGCAGAGGTGAAAACCTTGAAGTGGTAGCTAAAGAAAGTTTAATGAAGTGACTGTTTACAGAGGTGTGGCGGAGTGGTGGAGACCAACAAGGGGAAGTGAGACACTCAGGAAAGGTTCCCACCTCCAGGCTTGAGGAAAAGGGGAGGGAATGGCATGGCATGAACCTAATGTGCTGTGGGAAAGAGTTTTCCCCAGTAGTCGTGGCCGAGCTTCGAGAGTCGCCTGACAGACTTCATCCAGGTGGTGAGGGGATGGAGAGTAGGGGTGGAGGGAACAAACTCAACTCTCTCTCTCCTCATGCCCTCAGACCTCCTGTTCAGCCCTATATTGGCAAGGGACCCAGTGTGGTACGGTCTATAGAGGTCAGCCTCAGGGCACGCACAGAGCAGGGCCAGAAGAATGTAGAATTGATCTGGGAACAAGCAGAGATGGCCTGCCCGCGTTATTGCTGGGAGAGTCCGCTGCACGTGCACAGCCGTGGGCTGAGGAGCTCGGCGTGGCCTCTGCTGGGACCTGTGCAGATCAGCCTCCCAGAAGCACTGAGAGATGAAGGCCAAGAAGCTGGTTGGAATCCCCAAATGTCAAGTAAAGGCGCCTGATCTTAATTCAGTGCTCAGTACTTAGGCAGTTTTATTTCACATGTCAATGTTAGTTTCTTTGTTTTCTAAACCAGAGAACTAGGGAGTACACAGGAATGGCAAAGGGAAGGAGACGAGGGTGTGTGCCGTCCACCGGGAATGTGGGAGTGAGGGCAGGTGCCCTCAGGGGCTCATCCGGCTCTCTCTGTGTTCCAGTGACCTATGGGATGATGAGCTCCAGTGTGTACTACTACACTCGCGTAATGTCACAGCTCTTCCTAGACACCCCCGTGTCCAAAACGGAGAAAACTAACTTTAAAACGCTTTCTTCAATGGAAGACTTCTGGAAGGTATTTACCAATGACTTTGAAAGTACCTCTTGGTCACTGAAAATTGTTCATTTAGTTCATAGGTTAAATTCAGCAGCATTTGCAGGGCCTGCCATGTGGGTTGCTAGAAGTATGTAGCCTCGCACCATGCTGAGGGTTTCACGTCTTAACATATTTAATTGCCATAGTAACCATACAAGGTAAGTACTAACGTTCCCCAGGTTGTAAATGAATCTCAGTTTGGTTCAGAGGAATTCCCCATAGCCAGGGAGTAAGAAAAGTGGGCTTTATTCTAGCCTGAAGGACACTTCCTCACCAGGTTTATAATTCATGCAGTCATTCATGATTCAATAACTATCTGTTGAGTATCTCTTAGGATGTAAGGCCCATGGTGTAACACTTAGTTGTTTTTTTCTTGCTTTGTTTTATTTTTTTTTTATTTTTTGTGTCTTTGTTGATGATGGCAGGTATGCTAGACCAGTGCCTGCAGGCACGTTCTTTCAAAGATCTCTAATGTAAAATTAAACCCTGCCCTTCCCAAATTGTCACAGATTCCAGCATGGTGGAAGAGATAAGCAAAGAATGATACCATAGGAGAAACATCCAAGTAATCTGGAAGATATGGGGCTCAGCATCTACAAAAATTGTGTGTGAGGGGGCAGAAAGGGATTGGAAAGGAAATGACTATTTCTTCCTAAGGAGATACTTTCTAAAATTCTTATAAAACCCAGGGATCAGAGCTGCTTATTTTAAAGATAGAGGAAACTGGATCACAGGAACCTGTTCATTCTAAAGCCTGAAAATACTTGGCATCCAAAACCACACTTGCATAATATGAATATTTTCCTAGGCAAATCAGTTTATCTCTGTTGATCATCTGATAAGACACTGAGAATAGCTAGATGTCTTTCCAGTAGGCAAACTAAAAAGAAACTTCTCACAGATATACAGAATTCAATGATAATAAATGCCAAGCTCGAAAAGCAGGGGTGGGCAAGGTTGGAGAGTTCACCATATAGAAGATAATCCAAACCATTAAAAGATCCACCAGATGGCAGACTGGTAATCAAAACTATAGTCTTTTCCTTTCCAAACAAGTTTTGAAGCTTGATGATTAATTATTAACTTTTAATCAGGGAAAGTGAAATTGATCATGGCTGTGGGTTTATGTAAACAGCTCCCTCCACGCCCCCTACCTTCAGTCCTAAAGCAAAAATCAGTTTCCATTTAGTAAGCGCCCACTCTGTGCCTATTGTTCTGTGGAATGATACAGAGAAAATTAGCATGGCCCTACACAAGGATAACACTCAAATTTGTGAAGTGTTCTGTGGGTGTTTTTTTTTAAATATTTTTATTGATTTCAGAGAGGAAGGGAGAGGGAGAGAGAGAGACAGAAGAGATAGAAACATCAATGATGAGAGAGAATCATTGATTGGCTGCCTCCTGCACAGCCCCAACTGGGGATCGAGCCTGCAACCCGGCATGTGCCCTTGATTGGAATCGAACCTGAGACCCTTCAGTCCGCAGTCCGACGCTGTATTCAATAAGCCAAACCAGCTAGGGCTGTTCTGTGTTTTTTAAAAAGAAATGTACTGTGTTTTTTTTTGTTGTTTTTAAATATATTTTATTGATTTTTTACAGAGAGGAAGGGAGAGAGATAGAGAGTTAGAAACATCGATGAGAGAGAAACATCGACCAGCTGCCTCCTGCACATCTCCCACTGGGGATGTGCCCGCAACCCAGGTACATGCCCTTGACCGGAATCGAACCTGGGACCTTTCAGTCCGCAGGCCGACGCTCTATCCACTGAGCCAAACCGGTTTCGGCGAAATGTACTGTTTTATGATAGATTTGAAATATCACATGCAATTTTAAAAATTAAAACTTTCATCAATAGCACCGTAGCAATTAGGTAGCAGCAAACAAAACACTGCCAGACAAATATGTTGAAAAGCATTCACAGAAATGCATTGCACAAAGTTCATCTTGGATCTTTAAAAATAAAATAATATTCAAAATATTACTACCCCAACTCTCAGATTTAGTTGTATGTAGAAAAATTTAATTTATATATTTATCCTATAATATATAAAACATCTGTATACACTTTATCCATTTTAACTGCATAGGCATTAGGTCCAATTCTAAAAAGACTGAAAAATATGCTACTTAATGTAGCTTTTGTATATTTGAAGACTATTGTGTAATATGCATAAAACGTCAGAAAACCAGTCAACCAGTGTTTTATCTTTTTCTGAAAATACATTTATGGTACACCAAAAAAGGTCTTAACCCAATAAAATTAAAAATTTTAAAACTTAATTTTTTTTTTAAGTTAAAACATCTGTAACACTCTATGTGCCTTGCAGATATCTCATTTATAGAGTCTGCTAAATAAAATAGTCTAAATATTAAATATTGACTATAACCAAAGTGAGTCTCACAGGAATCGAGTGAGAATGGCCAATAGTCATAATAAAAGGCAAATCTCAACTAAAGCCAATAAAAAGTGCTGCCATAAGAAAAATTATAATCATAAAATGTAATGGTTTCATGGATTTGCCTCACTGGACACTTTCATTTGATAACCATTTGTGGAATAAAAACATAAGCCTCCAAAACCTAAAAATATCAAAAGATTGGATTTATTGGTTTCTGTTTATACTGTGAAGTGAAAACTGCAGGGTAATCCCAATGGGTTGAGCCTCTTTGAGATGAGAGCATTCTGTTTGTATGTTTGTTGAAATCCAGACCATCCCCTTTCAAATCGATGTAGTAACTATGCAAACGATGGACAATGACCTAGACGGTTTGGCTGAATGGATAGAGGATCGGCTGCGGAGCGAAGGGTCCTGGGTTCGATTCTGGTCAAGGGCACATACCTTGGTTGCAGGCTCCTCCCCAGCCTGGGCCTTGGTTTGGGCGGATGCAGGAGGCAACCAATTGATATGTTTCTCTCTGTCTTTCTCTCTTTTTTCCACTCTCCCTAAAAATCAATAGAAAAATGTCATTGGGTGAGGATTAACAAAAAGAAGATAATAATAATTTTTAAAGAAAATTTTAAAAAATGGACATTACCAGTGCAGGAGCCCAGGAACCCAGGCCTCACAACTAGCAAATGATGGAGTAAGATCCAACTTAAATCCCTCTGACAGCAAAACCTACCCTTGTCACTCTGCTGTGTTCACAGAGTACTACACTGTTGGTCATGCACACATTCCGGGAAGGAGCGAGGCAGCCACGGAGCTTGAAGCTTTTCAAAAATGTTCCCTGTGCTTTCAGTTCACAGAAGGTGCCTTATTGGATGGGCTGTACTGGAAGACACAGCCGGGCAACAGAACTGAAGCTGACAACCGAAGCTTCATCTACTACGAGAACCTCCTATTAGGGGTACCACGGATACGGCAACTCAAAGTCAGGAATGGATCCTGTTCTATCCCCCAGGACTTGAGAGATGAGATTAAAGAGTGCTATGATGTCTACTCTGTCAGTAGTGAAGACAGGGCTCCATTTGGTCCGAGGAATGGAACCGCGTAAGTGTCTGTGGCTCATGGCCCTGTGCCCTGGCCTCTCACCGACATTCATTCATTCATTCGTTCATTCACTCATTCATTCTCTGACTCCTTCACCTAAGAAGATGCCCTAACTGACTCTTCAATGTGTATATTTAAGGTTGTGGCCAAACTAACCTTTGATTTCTCAAGTTTTCTCTACTTTTTACCCCCTTTCAGCTTCTAAATACATATTTTTCAAGAGGCTAAATCCCTGACCGTATGGTCTATGAGAAAGAAGCTACTGGGCCTTTGGAGGTTTCTGATGCAATGCCTGGATCTTAATTTTATAGAGTCAGTAGTATCATCCGCTGGGTTATTTCTAGGAAATTTTCTGGTACAGAAGTTTTTTTTATGAGTGCTTACAAATAAATTTTTGTTCAGAATGCAATTATTTAAAATGGATAATAAGCCTGTGGGGCAGTTTTTCTGTCTTCTCAAATGTGTTTATGATTTTGAGTATGTATTTGTAATGTGCATATTTATAGCGAATTTATTTGGTGTGCTCTTTGGCAAGCATACCTAAAACATCTTGTGTATTAAGGGAGGACAGTCTTTCTTTTTAGAATTACTGTAGTTATCATAAAGAAATGAGGCCCAGCCAGTGTGGCTTGGTGGTTGGATGTCGACCCATGAACCAGGAGGTTGCTAGTTCGATTCCGGTCAGGGCACATGCCCAGGTTGCAGGCTCATTCCCTAGTGGGGGACGTACGGGAGGCAGCCAGTCGATGATGTTTCTCTCTCTTAGGTGTTTCTATTTCTGTTTCTCTTTCTCTAAAAGTCAATAAAAGTGAAACATATTTAAACCTTAAAGAAAAGAAATGAGAACTCTCAGGGTTTCCCGTGGTGGGTACTGTCCTGGGTAAATTACTGTGGTAAGAATTGCCATCTAAGCTTTTCTAAGCTAATTCTGACCGTTCATCTGGATCCCTTTTCTGGGAACTGAGGCTCCCAGAATCCAGATTTGTTCATACACAGTGGGGTGAGAAACACCTTTTCTGTGATCATATTCTTTGTCATCTAATGCACACCCTATTTAATACCAGGGTCCACAAGAAATTAGTAAAAATCAGAGACTTAGAGTAAAGGGACTAAATACAAAAGACTTTTTTATGATAGTGATTTTCCTTTCCGATGCTCCTTTTTCTAGTTACTGCAAAGCATATATGTGCCCTTAAACTATGGTACCTTATCCATTATTTAACTTTATCTCACGTCGTAAATAAGAGAAATGTGTGCAACCACGACTCCATGCCAGATACCATTTAAGAAATGGTTTTATCCATCATCTCATCGACTCTT